TAGATGGAGAATCTTCTGTTCAATAATGTTTTGTGTGGTGTTTTTGAGCCGATGGAGCCACCATAACACTGGTTCTCAGAGAGACGGAGGCTTGCTTTGGGGTTTGCGAACAAGACTCGTTTATGCTGGTTCAATTTGACCGTAAAAAAATATTCAAACCGAATCCACGGACTTTCTTCTGTCTTACAATGACTAAATCCCAAATAGTCTTGTACTTTATTCAAAGTATCCAATGTGCACAGCACATTTGACACGTTTTCCCGTGTCAAAACTTGTTATTTATTCGGTTAGGCCTACCGTCCACACTAGTCCGGGCGAATCCGGAACAATTCTTCACCGAAAACGATTTTTTTCGAATACGGTCTCCAGAGTGGAACAATTTGAAAACGCCGGCTAGACGTATTAGTGTGGACGGAGACCGAAATTTTTCGAATACGATGACGTCATGATTGCCATGGGAACATGGCGGGAAGGCTAAAAATGCACCGCAGGCTCAATTTTAGCTTCGATGCATATGCTCAGATGTGCAATGAAGCGTTTTTGCAGCCTCTGATCGGACTAGTGTAGACGCGAAACATTTTATCCGTTTTCTAGTGTGGACGAAAAACTTTTTTTTCGGTTTCGGCGTGAAAGTTGAGGATTCAAATTCATCCGGCATAGTGTGGACGGGGCCTAAAAGGCATAGAAATCCAATGAAAATTATTAAATTAAGCTAGTAACAATGCAAGAGTAGAAAGTTAACAGTTTACATAAATACTGAAGCAAAATGGAGGAATTTAATGCCAGCAAAACTGTACGTTGTACGGTAAAACGAATAGTTGCTCCTTTTGAAAACGAAAAGACTTATCAAGGAAAGAAATATTGCATTGTCCATGCAGCCCTACAACATGGAAACAGCTGATGAAACTGATGAAACTCATGGAACTGATATAGCACATGAGGGTATGACGCAAGTTTCATCTAATTTCTGCCATTTCACATTTATTTTTAGATTTGCATCGTACAATAGACTTGAAGACATCTCAGACTATTCGTTCCTAAGAAGTTCTAATTTACATTACCTGTGAGTTTACTGACTGGACACGTGATCCATTTTAATGATAATTTTTGAGGACCAAAGTAAAAAAATATTAGAAACATTCTACGATTGAATGGTTTTCCCATACAATGGCTGACTGATAGAGTTTCTAAAATAATAGTCCTCATAATACTTCATTAAAAACTTCAAAGAATACCAATTAACCACTATAGCGTTGATTTGTTTTCTTATTTTTTTAACAAGCATGTTGAACAATAACAGACTAAAACAGATAACAAATCGAACATTTTATGGAGCCTCTCAACTAGAAATACTGTAAGTGATCAGTGCAGCTTCTGTTAAGCCAATAGTGAAACTCTTTTCAATATATGCACATTGATGACACAGCGCCAAGTTTTATATTGACCATTCAGGGATCGAGTAAAAGACTGGGCCTAGTTAACATTACCTTGCGTTGTGGGACTTTTTTATAGAATCTTTGAAATATATCCTTTTAACATTCCCACAATGCACTGTAATGCCAACTCCTCCCAGTATTACTTTCCTCAACTTTGAAATGGCAAATAGTATGATCGAGTTGTATTATGTATTCAAGGTATGAGTGCAGACATTTTCTTTAACAGATACCTTACTCTAAGTTCCAGTTTGATTCTTTTGTCAGCGGTGATTTGACTTTGCCGAGCAATTGACTCGATCGTTTTAATACACGTTTTTGGGTACTACACGGGTATTATTATTTTTTTTTTTTTTTTTTTTTTTTTGAATCTGCAATAGTATTTCGTGGGGCCCATCTTTAACTGTTTTACTTTTTACTTTTTCCCGAAATAAAGGCTTCAAAGCCCTTTGGTTTCCTTTGAACTGGTTTTCAAAAACTGTTTATTTTATATCGCGGAATATCTGTACTCGCTTAAGCATTTTCCTGCGATATTTGTACTTTACTGGGTCTCTATATTATAATACGCTAACCAGTCCCCCGTCTGCATTGAAAAATTAGCAAACTGCCTTTCAAACTATAGCTACGGTTTAAAGCAAGAGCAAATATACTAGAAGTCAAGAAACTAAAACTGATGTGAAACGAAAAGTGAAAATATCTTTTACGATGATAACAAGAAAACTCTTTTTTTTTTTTTTTTTTTTAAATTATGAAAACAATTTGATGGGAGCGATCATACCCCATGAAATGTAATTTCCTTCTATGTATTTTGCCGTAGTTTTCATACGAGATTCTTTATATTTCAAGAGTAAACGACCGAAATGTGAAGCCGACTTATATCATTACTTTATTCACAGGTAGCCCAAGCGCAGAGTTGGAAGCTCTGAATTGGCAACTTTCCAATTATTATACACTTGGCAGTGAATGCAAATTTTCAAACAGCCCAAAACTCCACAAAAACACAATTTCTGATTCAAATCTTAGAACCAAAGTGCTCTTTAACTATCAAACTATAACTTTTATGACATATTTGTGAAGAAAATAAAATTTGAAGCTTTTCTGTAAGTATATATTCAAAGCCTTTGAAATTCTAACATTTATTTCATTATAAATTCAGTAAATCTTACAGTCTTCACAAACTCTGCGCTTGGGCTACCTGTGCTTGGTTCATTTTGGTCGGCGTCGCCACTATATGGCGACCTCCAATCACGTCGCTTGTTATATATTTCGAAACATTTTATGCAATCACAAAGGCGTGTTATCGAGCAAAATCACTTCCTGTTCAAGAGTTTGGTCGGGTTTGCTTTGCCGCCATTTTGACGGTCTCATGGAATCAGTTCGTTAAGGTTGTTTTTAGGAGTTTTTTTCAAATAAGCTATTACGAAATAGAGTTCCGTGCTAAATTTGAGGGTTTTGCCCTGTTGAAGCTCAAAACGCGTATGGTTCTTTAATAGAATCTTGAAGATTTTTCAGCGGTTTTTGAGCGTGCGCACAACGTGGGCTCAAATCGAACGTTCAAAAGTAGGTAGTCACCTTAAATCTTAAGATAGAATAGAAATTTTTCGAAATAACTGAGTTATTTTTGTCTTATTTAAGTTATTATAATAATAAAAATATAATAGCTTCGGTTTTTGGTCACGTGAATGATTAAGATATTTCGTTCGAACTGATGACTACAATCAGTCGTAGCTAGGCGAATATTTCCTTCGACTGCCCTCATGAAATACTTAGTTATATTAAGTATCACCTACATGTTGTCAGCCGAGCTCTTGTTTGTAAGAGACAAGAAGATCTTACAGTGAAAGAAGACACCGCATAAGAAAACTAGGAGGTCAGTAACTACTGCACGATGACATGCTAGCTTTGAGTAGCCGTTGAGCTATCAACACACTTTATTCCATAGCATTTTTATTGCCTAGATTTATTGATTCTATCTTCTAAATGGTTGGAAGCAAGAGTTTATTAATGATTTGTAAATTGCTCATCGTATTATGTGTTATTCCAATTTTTCGATTGCACGTTACGTCATCGCGGCCATATTGGTGCCATTTAACAAAAGATTTCTCATTAGCATCCATTGTTAACGGCCGCACAATGGCCGCCAAGTTTTTGTCTTTTGACTTTCTTGTGAATGCTTGCAACCGATCAATGCCGTTACATTTGACCCTACATTTCTGAGCTCAATAAACTCTTACCACCACTCTGCGTGTTTTATTCTATTTCTTTCAAACGTAACTTTTTATATATATTTAAATAGACAATTAGTTACGGTGACCCACAACTGTCATGGCAAAACAAGACAATTCAAGGCAAAAAGAAAAAAGAAAACTCAATGCAAAACAAGAAAACTCACGGTAAAAGAAAGAAAACTCACGGCAAAGCAAACAAAAACACCTTTTCCACAGCTAGAACAAAACTTGTCCTCATATTTTATATTACATCCGCACTGGGAGAAAAACATTAGTAAAGATTTATAGTTGAGATCTGTAAAACAGTACGGGCGAGAGGCGACAGTGGCCGACACACGTGTCTCTTGAAGAGTAAGACTGGTTGTGGCCTTTGCTAGGCGAACTTTGACTGGACTGCTTTGCTGGATTGATCTTTATTCATACATCTCGTCAATCTTGACAAATCCTGACTTATCCGTAAAACCACATGTAGATCAACAAGGGAATGTAGATAATCATATCGGAATTATACGTGATAGAACGAATTATCAAAACTAAGCGATTTTATTTGGAAATCTCAAGGACTTTAAATAAAGGTTCCAACGCTAGGGCGAGGTCTTGAATTCTAATGYAAAACCGAGCCCGTGCGTTTGAACTGGTTTAAAATATCAACTAAGCCCTAAATACCATTGTTTCGATGCAAAACACGAAATTCAGAGAGATAGATTACTGTTGCTTTGTTCTTTTGGAAATAGAGTACAATATATCCGTGTTTGCACTCTATTGTTCCGATAGAAATAAAAATAGTATTGTTTTCATACCTTGCGTTCTCTGGGGCAAGTATAAGGAAAAGTAATTAAAAACCTTTCCCGGGTTTATAATAGCGCAGCGCAACCGTGACGTCATAAAAACAAAGACAAAGGCGAAATTCGGACAAACAAACTTACAAGTTTACTTTCAGCAGAAAATTTTCACAGCCGATCGCAATTGATCTTAGTTTACATGGGTTGTTATTGTAACTTTAAGTAAAACGCCCCTGCTTTTCTATCTTTCTATCTAATCTGTAAAATACGGACTATTAGTTCCTAACGCAACTAAACGAAACTCAAGCAAAAACACAAAGCTATCAATCTAAATCTCGTTTGGGGGGAGGGTTTATTCGGGCAGAGGCTGAGGATCGGTGGGGATTTGATATTTTCGGGTTTCTCAACTAGTAGTTCGATAATTTCCAATTGGAATTCAGTGGATGAAGAGCCACTCTGAAAATGTTACTGTAAATCCAATTTATCCTTATTTGCTTCTATTATCTATTTACAGTAGAGTGTTATCTCAAAGATACCCAGGAGCTATTTTTTTAAGCTCCCTTTTTAATAATATATTTCTTACAGATTTCTTTCAGATAATCCAATAGAATACATAGCCCAACGAGCATTCTTCACTAATTCAAAACTGAAAAACTTGTAAGAAAGTACATTTCTGACCTTAAAAAAATTATTTATTCACTTGGACAGTTTTCAGGACTTGGCCTGAACTTTTTCTGCTTATATTGTGAAATAATGATAAATCCTTTTGATTATAATTACTTTTGACATTTATGCAGGCACTTAGTGCAAACCAAGATCAAGAGCGTCAACATTGACTGGTACCATCCATCTATCTATAGAATTGGAACAGTTGTGCTAATGTAGGACACTAAACACGAAATAGACCTCATTTAGTCGTCTTGTTAAAATGTTTTCCCATGCATTACAGACCACTTGCAATTCGGTATCATTTCTTTGTTTAACGGTTGCGCATAAGAAGCACATGAACATAGATATACACCAAATAAATAATGACACGTGTCCTGTAATGGGAAACCTTGCACCACAACGAATAAGGTATATTTAATCATGATTTAAGAGCGACTTTCTGTAAGAGTCGACCAAACATCGGCACAAGTCAAAAAATCGATTTCGCTCATATTTGGTTTTTAGATAGCCCTTAGTGTAAAATAAATCGAGGTGTTGTTAGTTTTGAAAAGAAAAATTTTTTCGCACGAAATTTACGAAAACAGATTTCGCCCAAATGCAGGGGGAAAATGACCGACGAGGTCAAGGAATTTAGTACAAAAATAAGCGCATCCTACAGCTAAACTACT